ATTTGTCATGGGGACTTCATTTCATTTTATGCCCAGAATGCAGTAACATAATGAAAATACAAACTTATTACTTGAGATAGTTTGATGTGTGTATTTTAATCAATTTTTAAAGCCAGCATCTCTCCTCTATGGAAACAAGATTTCATAGTTTATCTCACTCCCTTATGAGCTGAATAGAATTTTAGGCCTTAAGAGTTTGTCCATATGGAAATAAATTAGGGATATCAATACATTTGTGAACTATAACTAAGTTCTTGTCTAAAGTGGTGCAGTGTTTTGATGGCTTTACCTTTCCTGATTAAATTTGAACTATTTCCTGCTAAGCCTGCAAAACCCTGGGCGATTCGAAGTGGCAAATTGGTACAGTGAAATCATAGACCTTGGTAGTTACAATATGCTTTATCATTTAATGGTTATTTTTAAAGCCATAATAATAGAAATCTTTGCTATGTCATAGAATAGGGAAACTTCAGGAAAATGTTTCCTTTTCTTCACAGTCAACAGTCAACAGTGTGCTGAGAATCATCTTCCATCACCACAAAGCCATCTCCATGTCCATCACCAAAATAGCAGAATGCAGCACTTTGTCTTTATTACTTCCACTGTGTCAGAGGGAACTGAAAGCAGAGTATCTTTTATTCTATCTTCATTATGTGTCTATTCCCAGAAAAGCACAGGGTCCTTGTAAGTTGTGTTCCATAAATTTTCAGAATTGGTGAGAGAAGAGCAGACTTAGTTTATCTGGAGGGATTATTTCATGGAGAATCTTATTTCTGTAAATACCATTATAGATAAAAAGCAAAAGTGGCATACTTCCCTTATAAAAGGTCACATCACTGCCGAAGGAAGACCTCATATTCCAACTTTTGAAAGGGTTTCATGTCAACAATGTCTGCCAAAACTAGAGAAGGTATAAGCTCACAGGAATCAAATTACCTTAATTCCTTTGATTTTGCCATAAAAGTGTAAATCAATTTAGCACACACTTTCCAAATTTCTTATGCTTATCTTAGAATGATTCACCAGAAGGATTTGCTCCATATAAAATTATATGGTACACTAGACTACTTTGATTGACACACACATCAGTCGCAAACACGTAAGAGGGATAAAAGGTTATACCACACCTTAACTGTGAGACAGGCACCTGTAAAACTGTGCGTGATCATCTTGGGGTGTCTTTCCTTAGATTGGCACTGTGAGTTGATCTAAAATGGATCTGCAGGCAGAATCATGCCGGGGTCCCATCCCAGGACCTCAGCCTTCCAGCCTGGACTGTGGAAAGACAGTGTGCATCTCCGTGGTGGCAGGAAGTGCCCAGGCAGAACTCTAACTTATGATCTTCCTCCTTCAGCCTCCTAATTGCTGGCACTACTAGTATGCACTACCATGGCCAGCTCAAATGCAGGTTTTAGAGATTAAAAATGTATAAATATGCATATGTATAAATTCCCCATGGTGAATCCATTTATTGTGTATCACAACCATATACCAAGAAAAACCATTTGCACATTAGACAATCTGCTACAGTGAGGCTGATACAATGGTAACCCTGGAAGCTGAAGCACTTCTGTAAAGACTGCACTTATTGGTTATCTTAGGAAACCTAGGTGCTAGACCATGGCAGTCTTAAGTAGCAAACTTCCATAACAGCTTTGTTAGTGCTGACCTTGTTGCTGGGGACCTGGCTCCAGCTCCAGCACTGCATTAATAGTGCATTGGACTGGTGCCAAATGTCCTGGAGCTTCATTTTCCTATCTGCAAAATGAGCGATTTGGAGTAGACTCATCAGTCTCTAAGCTCCTTTTGGCTCTGTGAGCCCCATTTCTTTGCTTCATACCAGCGGTGCATGTGCCAGTCAGTTCCCCAAGAACCACACTGAGCATAAATTACCATACTCTGCACCTCAAGCTCTCTGCACCAATCGACCCCATGTCCCAACCTTTCCCGGCTCTCCTGATGCCTCTGTTCCTTTTGTTACTGATATAATCCCATTTTCTCCCTTCTCTTTACAGCTTGGCATTTCTCACGATTCACACTGTTAAACTTTCCTACACTTTTCCACCTGTAGGATCACAAACTTGAGGTTTTCAATGATTACATGCTGTTGTCTCTCTTAGCAATTAATGTGTTTAATTGCCTGCTCTGTCTTACTGGATATCAGCTCAAATCAACATATCCAAAACGTTTTTATTAACTCCTATTCTAAAATTGAAGTCTTCTCCTATTTGTTGATATCCCCATCAATCACACAAATTGTCCTTGACATTACCTTTAATTCCTCACCTACTCTCACAGCTGCCATCCAATCAGTGAAGTCTTGAGGGGTTTACCTTTGCCTTCTACTCTAATCATAATGCCGAAGTCCATCTGCAGGATTTCCCAGGTGAAAACTGCTCCACCCTTTTCTCCTTGCTCTTCCCAAGTTTCTGAGAAGAACAGTCCTGCAAGGTGATGTTTCATCCATGCGATTCTGACCACCTCTCTTGGGTATGAAGGCTTTCACTGATTTTTTGTGTGCTGTAGTGTGGTACCTAGCCACAGAGCCTTGGTGATATTTTGAATTTGGTTGTTTGCAGCTATACTGACTGCAAACTTCGATTATAGTTTCCATATACAATGATATGTCTCATCCATATACATGACTACATTTCAAAAGGATGCAGATCATTTCTTAAATTTTAATCTCTAGTTTTTAATCACTTAAACTCCATAGTTTATATTACAGTTCACTGGTGTTGCATATTCTTGAGTTTTGACAAATTAATAATGATACCTATGCACCCTCATAGGGTCATACAGAATGGTTTCACTGGCCTAAAATTCTTCTGCATTCTGGCTGTTCTTTCCCTCTTCCCTACCCCTAACAACTGCTAATATTTTTTGCTGTCTCTGCAGCTTTAGTTTTTCCAAAAGAGAAGGTTGGGATCATTACATGCAGCTTCCTGAGACTGATTTAACTTAGTAATATGCATCAAAATTGTCTTTGTGTCTTTTCACACCTTTGATAATGCACTTCTTTTCAGTGCTAAATAATCATCTGGATGTACCACAGTTTATCCAATCACTACCAAAAAACATTGCACATTTCTTCTATTTTATTCAATTAGAATGAAGCTGCTATAAATGTCCATGTGGAAGGTTTCTGAATGACTATAAATTCATTTGGGTAAATAACAAGGAATGTGATAGCTGGACATTGGGTGAAAATATGCTTAATTTTTTAAGAAACCACAAACCATCTCCCAAAGTGATTGTACTATTTTTCATTTCCACAAACAACAGATAAGAGTTCCTTTATTCCACACCTTCCCATACCTCAGTGTTACTGTTCTGTTTACCTTGGTATTGCAGGAAATGAAGACTATGTGGTGGCCATCTCTGGAGTGTGAGCTTTTGATAGGAGGTTTTTAAATGCTAATGACCCCCACTCTAAATTAAAACTTACATGTCCACTTGTTTATACCACATAGCAAAATGAAAGCATTTTAAAGTCTAGAAGGAAGAGCAAAAAGTTTAAAATTCTTTAAATTTAAAATGTACCCAGTAGAAGCCTAGGGAAATCTTGAATAATAAAGTTTAAATAAAATGTTGTTAATAAACCAAGTACTCTTTAGGAGGCTGTATTGGTACTACTATGGGCAGTTTCAAAACTGCAGAGAAGTTGGAAGGAGATTTCATAGAAATCTGCATGCCCTTTAATCAAATCCCTCAGTGTTAACATATTATTGTACACTCTTCTCTCATCGGTATATCACAACCTGCTCCTCACCACACTCATGCATCGATGTTTCTCACCTCATCTATTATTGCTATGATGGTTGACAAATGGTAATTATTTAATTCCATTATTTCTCCTCTATTAGTAGAGCTCTAAGGTGGAGCTTGTCTCACACACGTGTGTATATATATATATATATATATGTATTATTTATATTAATATGTATTGATGGGTTCTTATCTGATGAGTTTTGTTTGTGTTCTCATTCAATTTGATTCTCAAATTGGCTAAATTTGGCCAGTGGAAGCCTCTGGAAACGTCTCCTGGGTCTTCTGACAGATCCTCCACTGTTCTTCAGAATTTGAATATTTTTTAAGCTTGAGTTTGTCTAGGTTCACTTTGCTTTTCTCCCAGTTCTGTAGCAAATGTTTTTTTAAGAGTACTTGGTTCATTTTGTTGTGTGATGATATGTATGAACTGTTTTGCAAGTTATCAGTTAATAAAGTTCAAAACTCTTTATTTTAGAATTACTGCACATGGTTATTTCAAATTTTCTGTCCTTGCAAATGTCCCCATGAGAGGGCCAGGGATGTAGCTCAGTGGCACCATGCCTGCCTCTCAAGCACAAGGTTCTGAGTTCAATCCCCGGTACAAACAAACAAACAAACAAATAAAAACCAAAAAAACAAACAAAACAAAAATAACAAGTGTCCCCATGAGAGATAACCCACAGAAAATCTTAAAAAATAGTCTAAATGGTAATTAAAATTTTAAATAATTCAAATATATTAATATATTTAAAAGTCTTGTTGTAAATTCCTGGTTAGTCTAATAATACCCTGTGTGTGTGTGTGCGCGTGTGTGTGTGTGGATGTGCGTGTGTGTGTGTGTGTGTGTGTGTATGATGACTAATTTATCAAAGTGAAACAATATTATCTTTCTTTTTTCCAGAACTTAAAAATTCAGGTCATTGGATATTTAGAAAATATATCAAAGCTACAAGATAGTTAAAAATAATTGTTCTTCCTCCTAATGTAATTGCCAGTTCCAATTTATTCTAGTACATTAATATATGCAAAACAATCGACAAATTTAATAAAAGTAAACCTTTGATAATTAAAATTGACAGGTAAAATCTGCTTGTTCTGTTTATAGTTGTTACTCAGCCTTCTATTTTCATCACAGCGTTGCTATGGGAGAATAATGCTTTGGAATTTTGAAAAGTGTAATTATGCTAACACGGTTCGTGACATCTGACATCTGCGTAAACATACAAAAGAATAGATTAACTTTGCCAGAGAGGATTTGGGGGAAAAGGGAAACTCAGATTTTCCCCAAAATATATTTTCAGATGTATTCCCTTCACCCCTGACTTCATCGTCAGATATATGAACATCTGCTTAACGTTTCTGCTGTGGTGATTTTCTGAACCACGTGCAGGCCGCCGGTTTCTTCCGCCTTCAACCCACTCCCAGGTGCAGGGCTGATGGGGTGGGGAGGCCCGAGCCACCGCGTCTGGGGCTCTGGATTGTAGGAAGTTTCCTTCCGGTGCAGCTTTGCCCGAACTCCCCAAATACCAACACCGCCTTGCTTCCAGAAGAGCAGGAATCTGCCCCGCCTCCCACCAACCCCCTAGGCTCCAGTTTCCCAGCTCTGTGACTGCTACAAATCTCACTACACTTAGAAGCAACCATGTTTTAAAAAATGTTTTAGCATTTTTCAATAGTGAAAATCTAACCCAAGCAAGTTAGCAACCTCCACGAAAGCTTCTCATTCTGGATATATATGAAGAAAAGTACATTAACAGTGCAGTGTTAGGCTTACATCCAGATGTCTCCCGAAGCCTGGGTGCTCCTGGGCAGGACTTCTGGAAGGCCACTAGATGGGGCCCTGACTGGGATAGTCAGTTTTGCTGGCGGCCCTCGGATGCAGGATAGTCCGCTTTCCTCACCTCAGAGACTTGCAGAGCAGGGGGATCCCCAGCTTTATTGAAAAAGCTCACCAACTCTCTCTTTTAAGAGAAGTCAAAAGTAACCCCCAAGTTTAAAATTAGAGTAGAACCTGGCTCCCTCAGAAGCTGGCCAGTTTCCCGTGTAACATTTTTCCTCTCAGTTCTGCTTATTTCTCTTTACTCTTCTTCTCTGTTCTCTCATGTGTTCTTTTAATCAGTAGTTAGTTAAGAGGAGTAGTATTTTTAATAATTTTGCTTGCTAATAATTTTAGTCTTTATGCATTTTGGAACAATTTACTATTTTTTAAAAAGTTCCACTTGACTGTTAAGTTTTTTGAAACCTAAGAAATAGGAGACTTAGTTTAAGCCTTGCTTCCACAGTTCTTCATAGGTTGCAATTGAAGTAATAATTCATGGGTTAATTTTTCAAATTAATTTTGGGTAACTTTAATTCAACTTGTGAAAGCTCTTAAGAAAATATACAGATGTTAAAAAATACAATAAAAGAGCTGAGCTGGGTGTGGTGGTGCATTCCTTTAATTTCAGCACATTGAGAGGCTGAGGCAGGAGGATCACAAGTTCAAGTCCTGTACAGAGAACTTAACAAGACCTTGTCTCAAAATAAAAATTTAAAAAAGGGTTGAGGATATAGCTCCATGGTACAGCCCTCTTGGGTCTGATCCTCAGTACAACACACACACACACACACACACACACACACACACACCACAAGCAGTGAACTGAGATGAACATGGTGTTCTGGTAGCTGTACCCTACTTTCTTGAAATTTTCTTGGAAATGAAAATAAAACCCCGGACTGCTCTTTTTCTCAAATGCTTCTTTTTGTCTGAATAATTTGGGTCCTATAAAATGAAGAAGAATTTATGGCAAATACAACAATTGATGGAAATAGTTAACATAGTAAAATACATGAATTATATGTATTGTTATTGACAAAATACTTAAAGATAGTGTGCCATTGCTGAAGCAATATAAGTGACTTTTTAATGAAGTTGGTGTTAAAATAAGGAAATAGAATGGCATCCATTGTTCTAGAAGTCAGAAATTCAGCAGAATTTAAGAGTATGCTTGGTGACATTAGAGTTTAAAATGTAGAATTTCTTTCAGTGGTTCTTGAAATGCTCAGCCTGTAGTGTCTGTAATCTACAGTGAGGCAATACTTGCTTCTGGCTTTGGTGCAGCATCATCCCATGTGGCAACCTACTTATTGCCAAAGATAGCGAGGCACAGCACACCCCACTAGCCACTGTGCTTTCCACGGAGCTCGTCAGTGTGTACTGAACATGACACTGGCCCTTCCACATGTTGATATACTGCTTGTTTTTGTGTCAGTTACTGAGAATGACATGAAAAGCAATACAAGAGCTCTTTCCACACCGTAATGTCCCTCCCCACATTCTTCAAACACCAGAGCACTTTGTGCAAGTTTTCGTATTTCTCATTAGTAATGCTCTCACAGAATCTACATGGTGTGGGCAGACTATAATCATAAAAGGTTAGAAGGAAAATAAATTTTCAGTATCAGAGTGAAAGCCATAGCCATATCTTTTGCAAAAGTGAGTGCAACACATTGTGATGAAGTATAGATTTGTAGGCCATATTTCTGGAGAAACAGGAATGTAAGGAGATGTTATACCAGGGATAGACAATGTTAGTCTCTCTGATGTCTGATTTGCTTCTAATGAAAGCTGCATTAACCCTTTCAGAACAAAGCAGTGCTCTCAATCAGGATTTATTCCTGCTGGCTGGGAATGACAAAGGAGCAGAGCAATTCCTTGGTATCAACTACTTGGGGAAGGAAAGAAGAACACTAGACGGGGCTATAATCATGAAGAGGATGTGGCTGGAGTTAGAGAAAGTGTACGCAATCATGAAGAGTGGGCAACAACATCCGTAAATTGCCTCAGGAGCCACAGAGTGGTAGGAATGACTCTGACTTGTTACCTTCAAATTCACTTGTACTCTTGGTAATCTCCAAAAACTAATGTATTTCGAGTATGTAGCTAATATTGTCCAAGAGTATTTTTGCTATAAGTTCAAATATGATATTGAAAAAATATGCATTTACATTTTTTAAATCATTGATGTTTCTTGAAACATCTGTTAGATTCTGGTGTTAGAAGAGTGCATAAGAAAGATGGTCCTGGTCCTGCAGGGCTCCCAATCTAGATAGCAGCAAGGAGACAAGCAGATGGGTGCAAAGTATCAAGCATAATGGGAGAGGTGACTAATTTCTTCTCTACTGCCTGGGATTTTATTTCAGAAAAATGATTCCTGTTTGACATTGTCCGTGAAGACTGAATTGAATTATGCTGGTATGGCTTCTATAAGAGCTCCTAAAGGTCCATGTGTGTCACAGGCTTGGTCCCCAGCCTGTGAAACTACTGGGAAGTCGTGGAGCCTCTCTGAAGGGGGCCCAGTGGGAGGAAGTCAGTCATTGGCCAGCACCTTAATGGGGATTCTGGGACCCCGGCCCCTTCCTGTATCTCTCGTCACTTCCTGGCCACTGTGAGGTGAGCAGTTTCTGCTGCTGCATATTCCCACCATGCCCTACTGTGCTGCCACAGTTCTCTCAGCAGTGGGACAGCCAACCATGGACTGAGTCGTTTAGTGAGACGAGAATACCCTTTCATCTTTATAAAGTGGTTGTCTCATGTATTTTGTTATCAGTGATGGAAAGCTAACATATACACCAAATAGCAAAGGAAATGCAGCCCAAAGGGACCGCAAAAAGACACTGTAGTTTGTGGTTGTTGACATGTGTTTTCTTTCTGTTTTGTATGCTTTAAAATAGGAATTTCCAACTTCAAATGCACACAGAATCTTCCAGGTTATACCATCAGAAACAACCTATTCAAATCACTTAAAAATTAATCTGAAATATACCTTGAAAAGCAAACTATTTTATCCCTATCATGAATGGAAAAACTGCCATTCCTTGTGGTAAATAGAAAGTAGTAGTAAAAATAAAATGAAAATCAAAATAATTTATGTAAATTTTATTTTTTATTTATTTATTTTTTTTAAGTTTATTGGCAGCCCTGGGTGATACATCTTTCCAGGTTTGTTTTTGGGGTTTTTTTTTTTTTTTAGTACCAAGGATCGAACTCAGGTCCTTGTGGTTGAGAGGCAAGCGGCAGAACCACTGAGCTAAATCCCCGGCCCTGTAAATTTTATTTTTAAACTGAACAATAAAATATAAATAATAGTAAATCTAGTCAGTTTCCAAAATGCATAGGAGAATAAGAAAAATGAAATTACTTATGAGCTGACACCAATAAAAGTATATTCATGTTAATATTTCTTAATTTCAGAGGAAAATTAGATTCAACTAAATAAGACAACCCCAGTTTTTAAAAATATTAATGAGAACAGAGAGTTCCAGTTCACATTATTCTCAAATCAAAATTGAATGATGATTTTCTTTCAACAAATTCTTGTTTTGAGGAGATTGCTGATGAAAGTAATGTTCTGTAACCACCAATTTATTTGATAATCTTCTCAAAATGTTCCCTTCATACTTACTGCTGCCTTCCATTTAAGAAGAAAAAAAGCAACTTACAAGGATCTTACAATTCTTTCTCATGTCTCTTCATAGTATTTAAAATGTTTTCAACCAGTTCCTTAAAGTTGCTTGTGACCAGGTCACCTGAAGCAGAAAGAATCCCACAGAACTTCAGCAGGAGATGCACTCGTATGTCCAATGTCACACCCACTTGACTCTGCTCGGGGAAATGGATGCACTCTAATTTTGATTAACCTTCTATAAAAATATATATAAAAATACCAAGCCAGCTTTAAATTAAAATGTGTGCTCTCTCTAGTTAAATGTTTTGACCAGAAATTCTTGGATGTCTTGTTATGCCAACAGGCCAATGAGGACTTTCTGTGCAGAAAATCAGAATGGAACATTGAATACTTGCAAACATGGTCCTTGTCCATTCAAAGCAGAAGAAAAAGTTAGAATTCAGTGGCTATGCTTACATATGATTGAGAACTGCAATACAGTGAGCAACATAAATATCTTTCTTAAAATTTTAGTTATCTTGGGTGGTAAGTGGTTCTGTCTGTCTATATACTAAATAGTTTGGTTTTCAGTGAAAAAGCTCATATATAACATATAATAGGTAGATAGAGGTGATAAAGTCCATTTTCAGACCTGTCATAGTTTTAGCACCGTGATCTATTATTTATTATGTAATTATTTTCTACCTTTAATTAGCCACTGTGGAAATGTTGAATGTTCACACACTGAGAATATGAGTAGTGTGAAATCTACTGTCTATGTATCTTTTTCTGTCTATGTATCTTTCTGTGCTATCTCCATGGCTATCTCTATCATTATCTTATACATGCTACATTTTAATGTCTACATTTATTCATATAATGCATTTCTGTATCAAGGCAGATATGGGGCATTTCCTCTTTGTGATTAACCCTTTCTATGGCAACACAACAAGAGCTAGATATCTCTGCCTGCACATACAAAGTGAGATTTTTCACTGCAGGAGAAGAACCTCAAAAATCAAAACCTGGGATCTCATAGAAGAGCACCACAGCTGCCCCCTTCCCTCCAGAGCAGCAGAAAGAAGCACAGTCTCCCTGATGTAAACAGACCCCTTTGGGAAGACAATGGGAAGGGTTCCAGTCTTCTACCCATTGGAATCTAAATACCCAGGTGTGGTGCATGGGGAGGAGATAAGATAAGCATTTCAGAGTTCATAGTGGAAAGTTTTATACAAAATCAAAGAAAATCTGTCTGTTAAAAAGTGGGTTTTTTCCCAGAGAGCTGCAAAATGTTAAGTCTCTGTAGGTTTTTAGGAGTCACCCTTTTATAGATAGATGAGCTAGGTAGAAATAGAATAGGCAGTCAGGTAGGGCTAGGTCCTCCAGAGGGTCAGGACAAAGGTGAAACACTACAGCTGCACCAGAGACATCAGCTGAAAACAAAACCTCAAGATAAAGACAAGATAAAGACAGACCTGCATACTTCCTCAAAGAACAAACACTGGGCCTACTGAAGTCTAGACAGATATCAGGCACCCTGGTGGGTGACCAGCGACCTCTGGACCCACCTCTTCCTAGAAGAATCTTTGTTCTTTCCATCCACACTTGCTCTGTGACTTATTTCCCAATTGGACACCATTACCTAAGTGACTACACTTGTAACTACAAGTTGACCAATACAAGTGACTACACTTGTATTGGGTGTTCATAGCTATGGCCCACGTTGTGCCTATGTGGATTTCATCCTATAAAACTCCTCTGTAAAGTGGGGTTCCCCAGGCTACCCACTCAGGACCCCTCCTGGCCCTCCGGAGCTTTCTTATCAATAAACATCTCCCTGAAGGACCCTGGTTAGCAAAACAGACTCCATATTGCTGCTGAACGACCCACCTGCCTGCCCTTTAGATGAACTTAGAAGGAGGAAGCTTAGAAACCTCCTCCCCTTAGAATGTCTCTTAGAAATAGCAATTAATCAACTACTGTTTTACAAATGTTCTAACAGCAGGACATTCTGCTTCTGTACCTTTTGCTTGCTTTGCTAGTTCTATCCCACAGGGGGGCCTAGAAACCGTTGGCCTCAAAGGTGTATAAAACATGTTTGTCAACCCCCAGTCGATGCTCGAGTCGGATGCTCGGCTCGGGTCCCTGCCAGTAATAAACTTCTGTGTGGATTTAATATCTATTGGTCTCTGGTTGGTTCTTTCTCACTGGGTGTAACATTCTTGGAGGCCCCAGTGAGATAGCCAGCTGCTCTGGAGCTTATTATCTTGGAGCCTTAGTTTCTTTTTAGAAGAGACCAGGATCAGACATTGGTGGTGTTTGGCCCCTCTGGACACTGGTCTGCAGAAGGAGAGACCACCCTGACAGTATTCCGGGGCTCTGGGTAGGCCAGTCCCAGTCAGGCCCTATCACTGATCAACCGACGCACAGGAGTTTATCGGGAAAGCCTCTAGAGGTAAGAATCAAATGATTCTTAGTGCACTGTGGGTAGGTAAGAGGAAGCTGGACATGGCACAGGTTCCCTTACCTAGAGTCTCTTTGCAATGGCAAGCAGACTCACTGGGTCGGAGTCCTCAGAAGAGGGACTCCCTGGGTGGGGTCCAAATCCATTTGGCCCCAGATGTTTACTTGGCCAAAGTTTGTTTTTGTCTGTTTATTGTTGTCTGTCTACTTGCTCTGTGTGCCTTTTGTGTTTTCACAGGCTAAAATTATGGGTTCCTCACAGTCCATAGAAGGAACTCCACTTGATTGTGTCTTGAATAACTTCAAAAAAAATTTATTCCACAGATAGGGAAGAAGAATATGGCATAAAATTTTCCAAAGGCAAATTATGAACCCTGTGTCAATTAAAATGGCTCAGTTTCAGAGTCGGTTGGCCCCTGGTGGGAACTTATTCTATGCACATTCCTCACAAGGTTTGAAATGTGGTCACAGGAGTCGGGGCCCCATGGCATCTGGATCAATTCCCATATATTGATATTTGGATTGATATGTTGGAAGATCCCCCTGAATATTTTATACAAGGTACAGGTCCTGATCAACCTTTGGCAACCCTGAATTGGAGGAGAAGAGGAAATCAAAACCTACCAGAAAAGAGCCCCTCTCTGATGGTTGTGTCAACCAGTAAAGGTGTTCTCCAGTCTGACCCTGAGGATGATTTGCATTAACCTCCC